TTCTGAGCGGCAGGATGAAAGAAGCTCGGTGTGTTTGTGAACCTGGTTTCCTGTCAGTGGACGGACTTCCCTGCCAGAGTGTTTGTGACCTGAATCCAGACTTCTGCAGGTAGGAGAGCACTCTTTAAAGTACACACACTACATACTTATATACACCTGAACATCAGCAGGAGAGGACTCTTTAAAGTACACACACTACATACTTATATACACCTGAACATCAGCAGGAGAGGACTCTTTAAAGTAGAGACACTACATACTGATATACACCTGAACATCAGCAGGAGAGGACTCTTTAAAGTAGAGACACTACATACTGATATACACCTGAACATCAGCAGGAGAGGACTCTTTAAAGTAGAGACTCTACATACTGATATACACCTGAACATCAGCAGGAGAGGACTCTTTAAAGTAGAGACACTACATACTGATATACACCTGAACATCAGCAGGAGAGCACTCTTTAAAGTAGAGACACTACATACTGATATACACCTGAACATCAGCAGGAGAGGACTCTTTACAGTAGAGACACTACATACTGATATACACCTGAACATCAGCAGGAGAGGACTCTTTAAAGGAGAGACACTACATACTGATATACACCTGAACATCAGCAGGAGAGGACTCTTTAAAGTAGAGACACTACATACTGATATACACCTGAACATCAGCAGGAGAGGACTCTTTAAAGTAGAGACACTACATACTGATATACACCTGAACATCAGCAGGAGAGGACTCTTTAAAGTAGAGACACTTCATACTGATATACACCTGAACATCAGCAGGAGAGGACTCTTTAAAGTAGAGACACTTCATACTGATATACACCTGAACATCAGCAGGAGAGGACTCTTTAAAGTACAGACACTACATACGGATATACACCTGAACATCAGCAGGAGAGGACTCTTTAAAGTAGAGACACTACATACTGATATACACCTGAACATCAGCAGGAGAGGACTCTTTAAAGTAGAGACACTACATACTGATATACACCTGAACATCAGCAGGAGAGGACTCTTTAAAGTAGAGACACTACATACTGATATACACCTGAACATCAGCAGGAGAGGACTCTTTAAAGTAGAGACACTACATACTGATATACACCTGAACATCAGCAGGAGAGGACTCTTTAAAGTAGAGACACTACATACTGATATACACCTGAACATCAGCAGGAGAGGACTCTTTTAAAACTGAACAGAGCAGGTTTTATATCCATGTCTACAGAGTGAAGTCTTTGCATGGGGGTGAAGTGAAATCACCTGAAGCCATGTCAGACATCTAATTAAGTGACATCTAGTCGATGAGTGAGTGTGTGAGAGGAATGCAGATCCTCTTCACTCTGGACCCTGGATATTTCATCATTTAAAATGGTCCTCCTCTCTGAACTCTGAGGCGGCAGCAGCTTTTCTGTCTGGTTTTTGGGGGATTGAAGGGTTTTGGAGGAAGTATTCGAGTTGGATTCACCTGTGATTAACAGTGTTTGGTGTAATCCTGCAGCAGAAAACAGTAAACAGTAAACAGTAAACAGTAAACAGTAAACAGTGAGCAGCCCCCTGCGGTTTAATCTGATTCTGCCCGGCAACACGTGGAGGATAAAGACCTGTTAATCAGAAGAGGCAAATCAGTACGAAAGCACAGGACAGTCCCCACCGGAACAACTTGGGGTCCAGCGACATACTCTCCTGATCCGAAATTAGCGCACTCTCCCCCTGAGCCACAGCCCCCTAAGATATTGTTGTCGGCCGACCCTGAAGGAAGCTCCTGGTTCCCTCGACAAAAAATCTACGGGATTTCTCCAGAGGATTTTGGAATATTGTAAAAAATAATGTCTGTGGAAAACGCACCTGTTTGATAAATGCACGTTTTGTTCAGCCGGATCATCTCCACATGTCTACTCTACTTTCATAATGTTCTAATCATAAATCTAATGTCCAGAAGCAAAATGCTAACGTGATGCTATAAAGGAACTACAGGCGAGTCCAGCAGCACGACTTCAACGTCACGCCAACTTCAGATCCATATCCAAACACACAGATTCTAAATGGTACGAAGCGTTTGTTTGAACAGTTTGCGTTTACGTGTTCGGCGTAATGACGTACAACGTCCTCCACGACTTCTGTAGTCCTATTCAGCCACTTGGTAACAACCATCGTTTTTCAGACACGTCAACTCTTCAGAAATCACCAGTGGGGTCACTGCTGATGGGTTTAATGTCCTAGAACAAAACGTGATCCGTCTCTTCAAAGTGTCTCAACCACAGACCTTATTTACAGCTAAAAAACTCTGAGACGAGGGAACAGGAAGTGGGAAAATGCTGACTCACTTCCTGGTTTTAGGACTCATTCCTGCACCACTCTATAGGAGACATAGCATTGAAATGAAAGACATGTTGACCCAATGCCTGCTCCATTAGAACCTTTCAAAATACTTCTCACAGAACTTCGATGAATTCATCACAAAGCATGTCATTCACTTCATTACTTTTTTGAATCGCTCGACAGCCCTATTTTTAACTCACTGCTGGAGAAGGGACTCATTGTTTTAGGATCAATCAGTCAGGAGGAAACAATATTCTTATCTAGTTAGTGTATTTCCACATCTCCTCATGTGACTGTCCTGCTGCTTTCTCTGCAGCTCTTTCTGTATTTCAGCAGTTTGAGCAGGTTTTCTGTATCTCTGCATCTCGTCTCCAACACAAAGAGCTGCCGCTGCACTTTCTCTCTCACTCCCTCTCTTTTCCAGACACAGAGACAGCCTCGCCCTCTCAGGACTCTCCAGTTAAAGCGAAGCATCTGATTGGACGACACCTGAGAATAACACAACAGGTACGTTTGTTGAAGCGCCTCGTCCAATCAGAACATCGAGCTCACTCAGCAGGACTTCGATTTAAAAACCAGAGCTGGAGAACGTGGTGCTTTTCCATGACACGTTTCTTTACTAGATATGATATGACTTTTTATGACATTTATAAGAATCACGATACTATGAGTTTTTTTTATGACTTTTATATGACTTTGGCCCAATCCCAAACCACGCCCTACATATTTAAAGATGTTTGGAGTTTTATTTTAGTTATTCATTTAATGTTTTGTCAAAGAGATGCTGATTTGAAACCGTTGTTACATACAGTTACGACATTTCCTGTTTCTGAGGAGAGAGGGGAGTTTGTCCCAAAGCTTGCCGCTGTCTCCCTCCACCTGACAGGAGGGAGCCTCGTTGAGCTGCGAGTGGCACTCCTTCACGGAGTTCACTCCGAGGGGTTAGGGTGTAGGGCGGGGTTTGGGATTGGGCCTTTAAATGACTTGTTTTTTATGTTTCTGAATGACTTTGACTTTTTATCTGACTTTTTTAAGACTCAAAATACTATGAGCTTTTAAGGGTTATTTTCTTTTACTACATATGATGCTATGACTTTATTTAAATTATTTTTACGACTATTTTATGACTTTTTTAAATGCCCTTTGATCTGAATTTCGTATGACTTTTATTATCAATTTGCTTTGACTTTATTATTAATTTGATATGACATTTTAATTACTTTTATAAGACTCACGATACGATGAGCTTTTAAGGTTTTATTTAACTATATATGATGCTATTACTTTATTTAAAGGATTTTGTATGACTTTTATATGAATTTTATTTGACATTTTAAGACTTTTTAATTCATATTTTCTTTACTTTTTAATGAATATTTGTATGACTTTTTTTTATGACTTTTTCTCCCATTAACTGGTTTTCTTTTCCCTTGTCTGATGTGAGGGTCCAAGGACAGAGGGTATTCATATCCTGAAAAGTCCACTGAGACAAATGTAACATGTGTGATATTGGGCTATATGAATAAACTTTGATTGATTGATTGTAATTGGCGGACTGCGTCTTTCATACCGTATATTTCGTCCCCCCGCAGACTCGATGAAACGGGACTCAGCAGGCCCTCGTCTCTTCTTCAGTTAAACATCAGACACTCTTCAGAGCTGAACAGCTTTCAGGACAAACTGTACCAACTCTCCAGAGCTCTTTCACACCAGAGGACGGTCTCCAGACATTTAGGACACTTTAAAAAAAACTGTCGGACAGCCTTCGTCTCAGCGGGATATCGATCCACGACGGACTGTTTTTGTACACGTCTGATTCTCTCTTTGTGTTTGTGTAGTGAGTAACGTGTTAAACACTCAGGATGTTTAGGTTTGCCAACACGCTGAAGTCCAGGAGGCCCAAACAGCTGCCCTGTTGAACCCCTAAACGTCTGGACGGAAGACGAAGAGCACATTTTCGGCCGTGACAATCATGAAAATCCACAGACTAGATTATTGGATCCCAACCTTTTAGCGTTTAACCCTTAAAACATATTGTAATATAATGTTAATATAATTATTAATGCCACTTTCTGTCTGGAGCGTATGTGTTTTCGTTTGGAGATCAACCAAAAAGTGTATTCCCCTTCTCAGATTGATTCATTTAAAGGGTTTTTAAAGGGCTTAATGAGTTGATAGTATCCACGGGTTTGTTTGTTTGCAAGCTTACGGAAAAACGACAGGTCCGATTTTCACGACTCTTGTTGGAAGTGTGTAGAAATGATTGCGTTTTACACAAATGATACATGACATTAAACGACTCTACAGCCGTACCACCTGCTGTGTGTGGCTGTACTTTGGTGCTAAATGCTACCCTTTTCATTTAAAGAGTCCCTTCTCTTGTAACTGGTTTAAAACAGGCTGGTGTTTCTCCTTTAAAACATGTGTACCCCTTATCCTCTTGTACAGCTGGTGTAAATAGACTAAACACATGTTTATTGCTGCCTTTCGGGGCGGGGCGTGACCCAAAACTGTAATATGTTTTTTTCTTATTTATTTAATTTGTCATTTAACTGTGGTGATATCACGATAGCTAAAAAATACAAACTGTGTTGAATAAGAGGCAACGTTTTTCCTTTTTTCTTTTGAAGTCACAAAACAAGGAACGAGAAGCGGAGATTTGGTGAAACATGGAATGCTTTTATTCTTCTGTTAGAGATCAGCGTTAGAAAAGTGACAGTGGACAAAGGCAGTGCTTCCCCAGGAATGATTGTGATGTGTGGAGCAGGTTTTCAGGGAGTGTGTCAGGGCGGTAAAGATCAGGAAGTCGCCCGTTTACACCCGGCATTAACGTGCTTCGAAGCAGGAAGGAAAGGTTTGTCTTCATGCACCCAACGCTCTTGAATCCTGTGTTTCTACGTCCTCAGTTCTCAAACTAGCTTTAAAATGCTAATTGAAGTCCTTGCAGATGTAACTCAGTTTCAACCTGAACTGATTCAAGGGTTTTTTCACTTTTTGTAATGCATGAATTGGACTTTACAGATTGCAAATATGGAGCAAGAGACTGATGTTAAATGAGAATAAACAGGGGGAATTGTAGATGTTTGTTTCCAAGCAAACAACAGTTTTGGTCAGGTTGAGTCTTCCTCTCTCAGTTTGTTTACACCTGTGTTGTTTCTAAAGTCCCTGGAGTCTTTCCAAAAGGTAGTCGGCTCATTTGAACCGGGACATGTCGATTTCTTTGTGTTTTTGCTCGACTGTAATCCAGAGTCTCCGTGGATCTTTTGTTCATGGCTTTCCCGCCGGCTTTCCCACACGTTAATGCCATTTGTAAAAAAGGAGGATCAGCTTCTTTGCAACAAGACAGATGTTCATGCTTTCAGATTATCTACGTCAGCGCTTTGTTTGAGAAGAACAACCTCAGGTGAATAAAGGTGGAGCATCACAGCAGCAGATTGTCTCTTAATTTACAATGTTCCCGTCACAGGAGGCTTTCTGTTTTCCCCCGTAAGCTTAGTTAGCTAGATTTATTGCTTCTGGTGAAGTACAAACGGTTCCTTTTAAAAATACACTTGCCTGCAAACACTTCTGCACCTGCTGTAAGAAACTGTACCTTCCAGTTAACGTCTGATCACCAGAGCATCACCGCTATCTTCTCAAAACGTCCACATCTGACGTGAGATTCAATCATCTCTTAACATTTTAGGAATCAAATTATACTTTTAAACAACACAGTGGAATGATTGGATTATTTGTCATGATGAGAAACCTGGGAATCAGTGCGTTGGCAAGTCGTTCCCTCGAGTAAAAAGATTTAACGATGGTTTGAAGGACTTCTTTCTGCAGAGGAGTTGCATAATCATTCGCTTAATAAGCACACAAATAATCAGAGAGCTGAATTACTGCTCAGGCCAAAAAAAGAAACCCATGGAGGGTTCCACGTCAAAGTCACATGTTTTTTGGACCTCATTACACATGAAATCACACACAGTGAGAAGAGGAATCACTACAGGAACAAATCAAAGAGGTCTCCAGTTACATTCGCTTGGAAAGACAAAATGATAAAGAAGTATTAGCAAATATCCGACAGAGGCTCCTTGTGCAAGTGTTCCCGTCCTGAAGGAACCACGGAGACGATGTAAACAGTTTACATCTGTTAATATGGAAGAGACACACCGTCAGGAATGCATAATCACATCTGGTTTTGGGGAGGCAGCTTTAAAAACAAAAAGAGTTGTGTACATGTGGCGTTTGAACCCCGTTAGAGAAGTAAGGCCTCGTCGTTAGACTTACAGAAATGTTACAGGGAAACAACCAGAGGGTCTGATTAGCAGCTTCCTAAAGAGAACCAGGACATGTTTCATGATGGAAATGTATAGTAAGGGTCCCAAACACATAGAAACTACTGGAAGCTAACCTGCATATGCAATTAGCATGAGGTGCATTCATTAGCATTATACAGTAGCTTGTGTTGACAATAAATCAGAATTGCTTTGCAGATTTGGACAATTTTGGAGTAGTTTTGAAGGTTATTGAGGAAGCTGAATCCATCTCTGATCAACAAAGGCAGTTTTAATCAGAAAGTGGACATATCTGTGCTCTCTGTGGGCCGATCATGATTCATTTGGGGTTGATTTTGACGATTTAGGGGACTCATCTGGATTGGACAGATTGCGTATTTATTAGAAGAAAAGTTGTCCACAGTAGAAATTATAATGTGCATCTTGTGCTCTCTGTATCCAATGGTCGAATCACTTCTCATGGTGGTCAAAATCAGAGGACAAGTATGGCCACTTCGTCGTTAAAAAACAGTTATTTATCATCCTGAAAATGTCAGAAATGGATTCAGCGTCCTCAAAAACGCCCAAAACCACTTCCAATCTCCCGAGACATTATCGTCCACATAGGATAAGTTGCTTTAATTAGCATTCATTAGCATTATAGCCTAATTGTGTAAATGTCCCAACATATGCAGGTCAGCATCCGGCAGTTTCTATGTTCTGAGGACCCTTACTCTACATTTCTATCATAAAACTAACAAGACTTCCAGGTTCACTAAAGCTGGACATCAGAGGTGATGATCAATGGGATGTCTCTGCATAGTTCAATGCAAAGCTTCCCTTGTAAGGAACAGAGAGAAAAGAAACAACCCCTCTCCTGTGTTAGGGAGCTGGGGACCCTTACTCTACATTTCTAACATAAAACTAACAACTCTTCCAGGTTCACTAAAGCTGAGAGGAGATGATTAATGGGATGTCTCTGCATAGGGTTCAACGCAAAGCTTCCCTTGTTAGGAACAGAACACCAGCACAAAGAAAAGAAACAAACCCCCCCTGTGGTAGGGAGCTGGGGACCCTTACTCGCTGGTGCATTTGTCCCTTTGTTTGCATTCTCAATAAACCCCAGAACCACTTCCAAACGTTCCACCATTACCGTGTGCATGGGCTGTTAATGCTAATGAACGCAACATATCCTAAGTGTTAGCATCCAGTAGTTCCTATGTGCTGAGGACCCTTACTCTACATTTCTGTACAGTTCCAGGTTCACTAACGCTGGATAGCTCATGGGCTATAACGCTAATTAACGCAAATTAACGGCAATTAACGCAGCGTATCCCAATTGTGTAAATGTCCCAACGTCTGCAGGTTAGCATCCGGCAGTTTCTACTCTACCTTTCTATCATAAAACGTCGGGGTATTGATCTCCTGGTTCACTAAAGCTGGACGTCAGACTATCAGAGGTGATGATTAATGGGATGTGTCTGCATGGGGTTCAATGCAAAGCTTCCCTTGTTAGGAACAGAACACCAGCACAAAGAAACCCCCCCCCCGTGTTAGGTAGCTGGTGCATTTGTCCCTTTGTGTTTCTCCATTATTTCAACATGCTCTGCATCATGGCGGTGGCGTACGTCGGTCTCGCCTGCCGGCTCTCGATGGCGCTGCGGAGGTACGTCACCCCCCCACAGCGCTCCCAAATCTCCTCAAACTGCCGGGGCAGGATCTCTGCGCCTCGCTTCCTGGAGAGGCCGGTCTCCTCCAGACTCAACTCACACATCTCCATGTCGTCTTTACCTGAAGAAGAAGATACGAGTTAGTGACGGGTCAGAAAGGAGCAGGAGGGTTTTAACTTCAGCTGCTAGCATGTTCACATGCAATACTTACTTTAGTCATCTTTAAGCATTTTTTAACATGCTATATGACATGTGACATACTATGACTCTTTAACCAAGGTGTCAAGTAACTAAGTACTGTACACAAGTAATACAGGACTTTTACTTCAACAGAGTATTCCTACAATCTGAGTACTTCTACTTTGATTGTACTCCTGAGTACTTCTCCCCCCTTTGCTTTCTAAATACTCTGTATAATAGTACTTGTGTAGTTCTCCTACCTGCCACCAGGACGACGGGGTGTTTGTCTGGATGAAGCTCCATCTGCTTTATAAATACTTTTTATATATATACCTGCAGTTCCCCTACCTGCCACCAGGACGACGGGGTGTTTGTCCATAATAAATACTTTATATATACTTGTACTCCTGTAGTTCTGGTACCTCTTCTTTCTAAATACTTTGTTTATATATATATATATATATATATATATTAGTACACCTGCAGTTCCCCTACCTGCCACCAGGACGACGGGGTGTTTGTCCTGATGGCAGGTATGGGAATATATATATACAGGTATATATATATGTATATATATGTGTATATATATATATATATATATATATATATATATATATATATATATACACACACACAGGTATATATATATATATATATATATATATATATATATACAGGTATATATATATATATATATATATATATATATCTGTATATATATATATATATATATATATATATACCTGTGTGTGTGTGTATATATATATATATATATATATATATATATATATATATATATATATATATATATTAGTACACCTGTAGTTCCCCTACCTGCCACCAGGACGACGGTGTGTTTGTCAGGGTGCAGCTCCATCTGCTTTATAAATACTTTGTTTATATATATATATTAGTTCTCGTGCAGTTCTCCTACCTGCCACCAGGACGACGGGGTGTTAGTCCCTTAATAAAAACTTTATATATATATATACTTGTACTCCTGTAGTTCTGGTACCTCTTCTTTCTAAATACTTTGTTTATAAATGTATATTAGTACTCGTGCAGTTCCCCTACCTGCCACCAGGACGACGGGGTGTTGGTCCCTTAATAAAAACTTTATATATATATATATATACTTGTACTCCTGTAGTTCTGGTACCTCTTCTTTCTAAATACTTTGTTTATATATATATATTAGTTCTCGTGCAGTTCCCCTACCTGCCACCAGGACGACGGGGTGTTTGTCGGGGTGCAGCTCCATCTGCCTGGCGATCCACGGCCCGTCGAAGTGAGCGTACCACCAGCCCTTCTTGGTGTTCTGAGGGTCTGAGTAGGCGTCCCCCGGGCGGATGAAGGGGATCCTGAAGTACCTCTGCTGCCGGTTCAATGCCACCTCCAGCTGCCGCGCGGGGAGGGCGGGGGCCGGGTTCTGCTGGGCTGGAGGGGGGGGGGGGGGGGAGAAACATAAAGAGTGAGGAAGAGGAGGAGGAGGAAGAGGGGGAGGAGGCATGTTTACATGCAGGGTGACGGGGGAGCAGATGGTCAGAATGTACTGGGGGGGAAAGCCGTATCTCTGTTTTTTAACCCGTGTATTAACTCGTTATAAAACTTTATTTTGCACAGGAACATTAACGAGATTTTAATCAAAACTAACTTTGAGTTCCTGGAGTTCAAGAAAAGGGATGGCGGCAAAATATATGATCAAATTAAAACAGAAAATGTACTTAAAGGTAAAAGGAAATAAGACCAAGGAGTGTGTCGAGATACTTCCTTCTTTCTGGAATAGTTCTTTAGCAAATTGAAAATCAAGATGTTAATCAGTGACATGTTGACTCATTAAACTCAAGGCTAGTTAGCTTAGCATAATGACTGGAAAGTGGGAGAAAGCTAATTAAATAGTGTATCCTCATTTTTAATTTATATTGATTACATTTTTTTTTAAACAACAACGTCTGTTGCTATTCCAAATTTTCCGGCAAATTTAAGAACAAGATATGACGTATAAAATCTGTTTTTTCCCTTGGTAGTATTATTAAATTAGAGTATAAAACAGATTGACTTCTACCCTTAAGTTAAGGTTAATTGTAGAGGTATTAATACACGGGTGAATGCACTGGAATGTGACTAGTTTTAAACCAATAAAAGGTGAAATATGGAATAAATAATCCCGGTGAAACACAGGCATGTTGACTTCCTGTTTCTCCGCCCTGCATGTCCAGCCTCTTTCTGCTGCTCTGGGATCAGTTCAGAGAGAGCAACCGTTTGTTCTCATCAGCGCTGACGACAGAGATTCAGCGAGACGTGAAGCGTGGCCGAGGTTTATGAAAGGGCTTTGCAAACTCGTGAAAAACACTAACAGGATTTGCATTTTTCTACCAAGTGGAGCGTAAAGGAATCTACTGAGACTTTCAGGACTGCAGCGTTTCCCCGTCACAGTATCACTCCTTTCCAACTCAGTATAGCTTAAGTGAATGTGCATTAAAAAAAACGTCATTTATTTGCCTTTTTATTCACTTTTTCAAATCAGAATATTGTATTTACTCCGGAGGAAATGTTGTGACAGTTGCTTCAATTTAGAATCAAATGGAAACGAGACAAATCTGTTCAAAATGTAACCGTTTCAGGTCAAAATGAGTCGTTTGACAGCGTCTAAAATACCGTGTTATAACCCGTTTCAGAGCAACACATCGTTACGCCATCGCCACCGTTATACCACCTCCCATAGAGCAAGAACATCCTCACACCAACAACAACTGTTTACCAATAAACAAGAAGCTGATAGAAATCTAGACTGTTCCTCAGAGACGCTCCAGTCTTTTTTTTTAAGATCCAACCAGATGTGAGTTCTGAGAACATCGACATCGCCTCAAAGTCAGTGAAATAACTTCCTCCTCAGAAAAACCTCCACCATGAAGAGAAACTGGAGACTAAAATAACCCAACATGCAGTGAACCAATCAGAGAAGCCCTCTCCCGTGTTAGGGTTAATAAAGGAGGGGGCGGGGCTTCAGTTGTTTTTGTTGATCTAACCAAAAGAGTTTATTCTTTTTTAATTCTGAGAAAAAAAGTCAAATTCTGAGAAAATAAAATAAAAATCTGAAAATTTGGAAAATCCCAAATCTACAAATGAAGGAAAACGCCTAAAAATCACTGAAATAATCTCCTCTGATCTCAGAATGCAGAGAAATACAAATCTAAGTTCTGAGAAAAAAGTCCAAATTCTGAGAAAAAGTGAACATTTTGAAAAAATACTAAATTCTGAGAAAAAATACTAAATTCTTAGAAAATAAAAACATTCTAGGAAATCTCAAAATTCTGACTTGTTAAATTCTATATTTGTTTTCAGTTTAATGTCAGAAAGCTGAGAAAAAGTCACATTTCTTATAAAAAAAAGAGTCAGAATTCTTAGGAAAAAGTCTGTATTCTGAGATCTTCTACAAATCAGTGCATCGTCATGATAACAGAAAACAGCGCGTCAAAAATCACTGAAATAACTTCCTCTGCTCTCGTCTCCTCAGAAAAACCTCCACCATGAAGAGAAACTGCAAACTAAAATAACCCAACAAGCAGTGAACCAATCAGAGCAGCCCTCTCCCGTGTTAGAAAAGACAAAACAAATCGGAAAATCCCAAATTCTGACTGTGAAACTTGAAAAAGTCTGAATTCTACAAATGAAGGAAAATGCCTAAAAATCACTGAGATAATCTCCTCTGATCTCAGAATGCAGAGAAATACAATAAAAAGATTCTGAGATAAAATTCAGACTTCTGAGAAAGTCAAAAATCTGAGAGAATTCTGAAAATAATACAAAGTTCTGAAAGAAAATAGTCAACATTCTTTGAGGAAAAACATTCTGAAAATCTCCACATTCTGACTTTAAATTCTACATTTGTTTTGAGATTAATGTCAGAATGCTGAGAAAAAGTCTGTATTCTGAGAGCGTCTACAAATCAGTGCCTCGTCATGAAAAACCTCCACCACGAAGAGAAACTGGAGACTAAAATAACCCAATAAGCAGTGAACCAATCAGAGCAGCCCTCTCCCGTGTTAGGGTTAATAATAAAGGAGGGGGCGGGGCTACAGTCTGTGGTTAGTGATGTCACACTGAAGACCACTTACATGCTTTTCTCACAGCAGGTGCATGATCTGAAAGTAAACATGCAGGTTACACGAACACAGGAAGTGATGCAACACGGAGAGAACATGTGACGATCAGAAGGAGAGAACACAAACACTGAATGTTATTATTTGATATGAGACGTGGTGACAACATGATAAAGAGTGAAGAACGAATGAAAGAAATATCGTCTAATGTATGGTATAAAAATCCCATCCTAGTGGTGTCAGTGCAAGACCCAGAGATATACAGAAGAGGGTAACAGGACCACGTGGGAATTTAGTTTAGATCTGATTATTTATTTAGTTTGAGTTCTTAGATTAAAATCTGAGTTCTGAGAAAAACTAAATCAGAAAATCTCAGAATCGACTGATTTCTGACTATTGAGGAAAATACAAAACTCTGAAGAAAAAGTCTGAATTCTGAGTTGAAATTGCGATTGTTTGTTTTTATTTAGATCCAAAAAATATAAGTTAGACTTCGGAGAAAAAAAAAAATGCTCAAAAATCAGAATTTGAAAAAAAAAACATTCTAAAAAATCTCAGAATTCCTAAAAAAAAAAAGTCTGTAATTCCGAGTTGAAAAAGTGGTTTTCTTTTCCAACAAAAAGAGATTTTCTTTCTTTCTAATTTCTAACTTTAATCTCAAGACTCACACTTTTTTTTTTACCTTTGTCGAATCTTAAAAAAAGTGTCACATGTGGCCCGAACCCTCTCCTGTAGATATTCATTCTAAGAGAATTAAAAATAATGAAAGATTACTTTCACCATCGATTACTTTTCTATTGATGAATCCACTAGTCTTTCCACATTAGCGTTGGAGTGTCTCCTAACACTTTTCCAGCGGTTTAAAACATCATTATGGACCCGAAAAACTACATTTAAATGAATAAAAACAAGTCGAATAATTATATATCCTGTTCTACATGTCAGCACTTTGAGTGAAAGCTTACACGACTTCCACCGCGGGAAAGAGCACAACAAGGTCAGAGCCTTTATATCCTCCGCCTCCTGAACAAAAGCAAACGATCAGGAGACGCAGCAATGTGTCATGGATCCTTACCGTAGTCCGTGATGGATTTGGGCACTCGCTGCTCCGTCTCCGTGTTCCTCTTCTTGTTCTTTGACTTCCAGGCGTGATAAACTTTGAGGCGGCGGTGAAACTCCTCCCTGCAGGCGGCCAGCAGCTCGATGTCTGCAGGAGACACAAACTTTAGAGAGGCGCTATTCTGGAGTGTTCTATAGGTTTTAGTGCATGTCAATGGTCTGCAGAACACACACACACACACACACACACACACACACACACACACACACACACACACACACACACACACACACACACACACACACACACACACACACACACACACACACACACACACACACACACACACACACACACACACACACACACACACACACACACACACACACACACACCACACACACACACACACACACACACACACACACACACACACACACACACCACACACACACACACACACACACACACACACACACACACACACACACACACACACACACACACACACACACACACACACACACACACACACACACACACACACACACACACACACACACACACACACACACACACACACACACACACACACACACAACACACCACACACACACACACACACACACACACACACGAGTGTTGACTTTTATCACATCAGTATTTCAGCTGCTCGTCCTCTGTCTGGGAGGTTGTTTTGTTGTGTTTGTGTTGTTGTGTGTGTGTGTGTGTGTGTGTGTGTGTGTGTGTGTGTGTGTGTGTGTGTGTGTGTCTCTACATGTATAAGAGCTCCTCGTCCTGCGCGCTTCCTGCAGTGAGGATAAGGACACGGAGCGCTCAGGTTAAACTCAATATTACGAGGAGGATAAAAAAAAGTCTCTCTTTCATTAAATCCCATCGGCCGAGGAGACGGAGCTTTGACCTTTGACCTCTTTTATTTTGAAAAGTCTGTTGAGAAAACAAAGGATCTGTTAACCGTCCGCTACCACGCTCTGAAAACACTTTACTACAAGTTGGAGTCCTGCATGAAAGACCGTATAGGGAGCTATGATTTCACATGTTTTACACTAAATATGAAGCTATTGCTAAGAGCTAGTTAGCTTAGCATTACACTTGAAATCTCATAAAATACAATATAGAATAAGAGGTCATTTATCTTCTAATGTTAAGCCATACAAGTCCGTGTAGTAATGCTTAAATAAAGCTCTTTGTACGCTGGAAACAGACCCATTTGCCCATAAGGTCAGAGTAAAGGTGGAGTGGTTCTCTGTGGTCTGATACCTTACCCTCTGATAGTACATAGAGAAAAGCAGCATGTATAAACGCTGGATCATCACCATGAGTGTTTGTTATACGAGTTCTTCTGGACCACTCACTCCCTCGTCAGAGAAGTGGCCATACAACAGAAATAAGAGTGAGTGGTTTACAAACAGGCAGGTGTTTCTAAATGACCTGTGACATTTCAGAGCGTGAGAATACAACAAGTTAGCCTCTGTGATTGAAAAGTATCAGGCTCAATAGAGAGAGAGGTTGATCCTCTGAGGAACCTGAACACACCACACGGTCTTCATTTCCACCTAAATTCATGTTCAATGAACCCAAATGGTTTACTTACTGTTTGATCAACATGTCGATGTGTCCGAGGGCAAGATACTGAACCCTGAGGTGTGTGTGTGTGAGTGTGTGAGTGTGAGTGTGAGAGTATTTTTGTAGTATCATGCAGTAGTCGTGGGTTTTAATGCAGTATTTGTGAATTTTGGCAGTATGTAGTATCCTGCAGTGTGTGTGTGTGTGTATGTGAGAGTGTGTGTATCTGTGAGAGAGAGAGTGTGTGTGTATCTGTGAGAGAGAGAGTGTGTGTGTGTCTGTGAGAGAGAGAGTGTGTGTGTGTCTGTGAGAGAGAGTGTGTGAGCGTCTGTGAGAGAGAGTGTGTGAGAGAGAGAGAGAGAGAGAGAGAGAGAGAGAGAGAGTGTGTGTGTGTGTGTGTGTGTGTGTGTGTGTGTGTGTCTGTGAGAGAGAGAGTGTGTGTGTGTGTCTGTGAGAGAGAGTGTGTGAGAGTCTGTGAGAGAGAGTGTGTGAGAGTCTGTGAGAGAGAGTGTGTGAGAGAGAGAGAGAGAGAGAGTGTGTGTGTGTGTGTGTGAGAGTATTTTTTTAGTATCTTGCAGTAGTCGTGGGTTTTAATGCAGTATTTGTGAATTTTGGCAGTCTGTAGTATCCTGCAGTGTGTGTGTGTGTGTGTGTCTGAGTGTGTGTGTGAGTGTGTGTGTGTATATGTGTGTCTGTGTGTGTGTGTGTGTGTATGTATATGTGTGTCTGAGTGTGTGTGTGTGTGTGTGTATATGTGTGTCTGAGTGTGTGTGTGTGTGTGTGTGTGTGTGTGTGTGTGTGTGTGTGTGTGTGTGTGTGTGGGTGTGTGTGTGTGGGTGTGTGTGTGTGTGTTGAAAAGTATAAGGGTCAAAAGCAAGTGGTTGATCCTCTGAGGAACTTGAACACACTCCAAAATGTCTTAATTTTCACCTAAACTCATGTTCAACCCTCATCTTATTGGACTGCCTGTTCTGCACAACACTAAGTGTTCTTCCTCTCCTCCATGTTCCAAAGCAAGGCTGCACACATTTGATTATTCAAGTACTTGGCAATAGAATACCGCACGTCCTCGATCCAGTGTGTTTCTGTATGCATCACCACTCACTTTGACACCAGCTCGTACGCGTCAAACCCACCTGGTGATGAACCTGATTCTGATTTATATTATATCATAAATTAATTCACATATTTCCGAGGTGGTTGACGCAGAACACACTCACCACAGGAGGTGTTGATGGAGTCCCGCAGCTCGGCGTATTTCCACTTGCTCAGCTCGTACTTCTTTGCTCCAGCTGCAGCTTTAGTGGCCTGAACCTGTGGGCCTCTGGGAGACAAAGACACAACATGGACGCAGGAGGTGAGACACAAAATGGACGCAGGAAGTGAGACACAAAGAGCAGGAGGTGAGAGATAGAGGGGGTTTCTCAATGTCGAGTAAAGCTGCTTCAGAGCCACTATTTCAAGCATGCTACGTCATCGAGTGCCGCTGAAGTACTGTTCCAATCTCCAGCATACTTGGAAATCTACCGAGCCCGGCGTACTCCGTTTGGAGAAATATCGAGGCTGCACATGAGTAGACTCCGCGGTCTTAAAATCCCCACAATGCTTTGCGCACGGACCAATTTCCCCAAATCTGTGGCGGAAGATGTAAGGAGGCGGGGCCTCTCATATGACGCACACCTGCACACTTGCTAGCCTGTTCCACTCTTCGTTTTCCGAATGTCAGGAAGTATTCTTGACTCGCTTCTGAAGCAAGATGCTCGGCAGACATGTGCTACCAAGCAAGCGTACTCGCGATTGAGAAACACCCTCTGTGCAGGAGGTGAGCCACAAAGAGGAGGAAGCAGGAAGTGGAAGAGGACTGGAGTTATTTGCATATAAAAGAGAATTTGCAAGAGTTGTTTTGTAGGGAAGATGGTGGAGCTCACAGAGCGGGAAGCAGATCATTGATATTGTAAAACAGTGAGATTTGGATGAAATCCCAAACGCCTACTGACTCAATAAATGCAATTAATCGTCATTTCTCCCCGATTGCATGACCACATAAGGCTAACATCAGTCATGAGTTTTAATACATATATTATGGATTTTATATAAATCCCATGGTTTTTGCAGAACGTTGACACCTACATGGACTGACTCAACGAAATGCAATAAACCCGTTATATTTTCCATTTTGTATCAAAGTGTCTGACCACGAAAGGCTCGTGTGTTGTCAAGGCAAGCTAAAACAAATAGTTGTAATATATAATAATATGGTTGTTATTAAAAACCCTGTTTTCTGCAGGAGCTGGAAACCTCCTGACTCGAAGAAATGCAATTACATTTCATTTTATTCAAATGTTTCTACTTTTAAACATAATATCTTTACCATAAGACGATTAAATCAGCCATGTTTAGTTGAAAAAGTCTAAAATAATACCTGATTCTTCTTTTATTAAGAGTTTTAATTAAAAGAATATGGTTATGATATAAATCCCAGTGTGTTCTGCAGAAGTCTGACACCTACTGACTCCACAAATGCAATTAATTCTGTTATATTTTTCCGTTTCTAACCAATATTTGGACCAGAACCGTCTCAAATAAGCTGTGTTTTGTTAAAGCTATAAAACACGACCCGAGTCCCCTTTTAGAGTCAAACCCACCGGCTGAAAGCCATCGACCCAGAGCAACAGGAACCAGAGCAACAGGAACCAGAGCAACAGGAACCAGAGCAACAGGAACCAGAGCAACAGGAACCAGAGCAACAGGAACCAGAGCAACAGGAACCAGAGACTTAAAAAAACACACATCAGTGTTTTAGGATCTTTTCAGAAGATGAGAGCGAGGAGGAGAGAGACAGAAACACTACACAGGAGGCGGGACTTAGCTGCTTTCCTCTAATCCTATTGGTCGACTCTGGATCTTCACGATTAAGCAGAGGTGGGAGAAGTACTCAGATCTGGTACTTGAGTTAAAGTAGAAGTACTCAGATCTTGTACTTGAGTTAAAGTATAAGTACTCAGATCTTGTAGTAAAAGTTTAAGTACTCAGATCTTGTACTTGAGTAGAAGTAGAAGTACTCAGATCTTGTACTTGAGTAGAAGTAGAAGTACTCAGATCTTGTACTTGAGTAAAAGTAGAAGTACTCAGATCTTGTACTTGAGTAGAAGTAGAAGTACTCAGATCTTGTACTTGAGTTAAAGTATAAGTACTCAGATCTTGTAGTAAAAGTTTAAGTACTCAGATCTTGTACTTGAGTTAAAGTAGAAGTACACAGATCTTGTACTTGAGCTAAAGTAGAAGTACTCAGATCCAGATCTGGTACTTGAGTTAAAGTAGAAGTACACAGATCTGGTACTTGAGTAAAAGTAGAAGTACTCAGATCTAGTACTTGAGATAGAATAACTTGAATTCATAACATCACACAATATTTGGATCTTAAATGAGGAGTTTAAACAAAGCAGAAGTATACTCTGG